CCTTCCCCAACCCCCCCCCACCAAGTTTATACAATGAAGTCCCAATCCTCAATGTGACAGTATTTGGATGTGGGCCTTTGGAAGGAAATTGAGTCATGAGGGTGAAGCTCTTATGAATGGGACTAGTGCCCTTAAAAGAAGAGGCCAGAGAGCTAGCTCACTCTTTCAACCGCGTGAGAACACAACAAGATGTTGGCAGTCTGCAACTCAGAAGAGGGCTGTCACCAGCACCTGACCATGTTGGCACCCAAATCTTGGACTTCCAGCCTCCAGAACTGTGAGAAACAAGTTTCTGTTGTTTATAAGCCACCTAGCCCTATGGGACTTTATTAGAGTAGCCCATTCTGACTAAGAGTCATTTCTGGTACTGCAAAGGTCTGAGGGCTGCCAATCATAAGACTCCACACATCTGGCCATGGTGACTGGTCCCTGACCCATGCAGGCCAATCAGAATCCTCCTCTGGGACTTTTGTAACTAGAGATCGCAGAGAAAACTTTCCTTTCTGGTCAGGAAGCCATAATAATGTAGTAAGCATGGAGCCACTTGAGGCCATGGCAAGGAAGGGCAAAGGAGTCACCTTGCAACGAAAAACAGCCGTGGAAACAGAACCAGCCCATCTGGGCTGCAGCTAAGTTCCCTAAGGCGAGGTCAAAACCCTCTTCTTGTTCTTTGGCGACGTGGGCCAATAATTTCCTTCTTACGCTTTAGCTACGTCAAGCTGGATTTCTTGCTACTCGCAATCTACCCATCTTGACTGATTCTAGTTTTGCAGATGAAAATTCTTCACGGTTTTTTATCAGTCCTCAATAAAAGGTGAGAACAGACTAAACTTTAAAATGTTCATGGCACTAAAATTTATCTTTATCGGTTTCCTTACTGCTAAAGTTAAAGGTATGCATTGTAAAATATGTTTATGAAAACTAGGACAGTGTAAAAAATGAGTATTTCAGATTTTTGTCAATACATAGAATGATCTTATTCTACAAAAATTAGATCAGACTATGCATAGAATTCTACAGCCTGCACTTTCCACTTAATAATGTATTTTGGATATAATGATCTATCAGTTCATACAGATCTGCGTGGTGGTGTTTTAAATGCTTATTTGATGTGCCGAGTGTGCCCTCCTAAATGATCATTAGTAATGGTGGGAGTGTGTTATCTCNCATTAGTAACGGTGGGAGTGTGTTATCTCATTGATAGGAATCTAATGCTTAGAGCCCAGANTAGTAATGGTGGGAGTGTGTTATCTCATTGATAGGAATCTAATGCTTAGAGCCCAGAGACCATTGCTGTTGACTTTTTGTGGGCAGACAGGTTTTGAAAGAAGCTGAATGGCTCATCCTTCACCTCCAGGATATAAATCCTGCCAGAGTATTGACAGTGTCCCAAGTGCCCTCCCTGTTCAGGGTTGAATCACACAGGAGAGTATCAGGCATGTGTCTGACAGCCTGCGAGGCGGCCTTAGCCTTCCGTGGCGTGGACGGCACAGGAGAAACTGCAAGGCTGCTCGCTTTGGACTCGGCTTCATGATCAAGAGACAGGGAGATAATCACAAGAACTAACACAACAGCAACTTTTATTGAGCACCTACTAGGTAGGCACCAGGGACACTGGCTAAGCACTCGGAATCGCCTGTATTATTTAATGCTCACACTAACCCTAAAGTTACCAGTTTTTAGTCATTCCATTGAAGCTCTCAGTCACGGTCAGTCAGAAGCTAGGTAGCAGCGGTGCTGGAATTGGGCCTCAGGCTAAACAACTCCAAAGCCCGTGCTCCTTGCCACGGTTTATTCTGCTCTCCAACCCGCCCCACCTGACTTGGGTCTGTATCGATCCTCACCTCAGACTCGGATTGTGAGAGGCAAACGTTTGTATTGTTGGGGAAGTCTGTGGAAATTTTACTACAGCTTTTGCTGTTGGTTTTTAAATAAGTTTAGGGGAGGGTATTACGAGATCCTTTTGGCTGGTGTCCTTGATGCCGGTAAGGGTTAGGGGTTTGTAGGCGGAGGTCCTGTTCCCTGACCACTTTAGCACTTGGTGAATCAGACTCGTAGAAATAATCTGTGTCAGAAAGAATGTAGTTATGGATGGCAACAAAATTAAAGCTAATTATACACAGCATCAAGTAATTAATAAGAAAACACAATATAAAATATGACTGTAGGAAAATCAGGTGATGTATAATTTTCTGTTGCTACTGTTACTGTTAATTACCACAAACTTGGGGGCTTCAAACAACACAAATTTGTCATCTTACAGTTCTGGAGGTCACAAGTCCAAAATGGGTGTGACGAGGCAAAAATCAAGGCGTTGGCAGGGCTGATTCCTTTTGGAGGCTCTAGGGGATTCTGTTTCATCTTTTCTAGCTTCCAGAGGCTGCCTGCATTACTCTAGTCTCTGCTTCCATTATCACATCTGTTCTCTGACTTTGNGGTTCTGTTTCATCTTTCCTAGCTTCCAGAGGCTGCCTGCATTACTCTAGTCTCTGCTTCCATTATCACATCTGTTCTCTGACTTTGAGTCTCCTACCTCCTTTTTTTTTTTGTTTTGTTCGAAAATCTAGTTTAATTGAGGTAAAATGCACAAAACATTTACCATCTTACCCATCTTTGAGGGTACAGTTCAATATTAAATATATTTACTTTTGTGCAAACCAATTTCCAGAACTTTTTCACCTTGCAGAACTGTGGGTTGGTTTACTATGCGTCTGACTTAATGCACTCAAAGAACGTCAGAGTTAGTACATGTCAGGTGATGAAGGAGNCTGCATCTGACTTAATGCACTCAAAGAACGTCAGAGTTAGTACATGTCAGGTGATGAAGGAGCCTTTACCCCCAAAATGCAGGGCTGGTTTAACGCGGGAGATGGGTTGCTGTNCTTTACCCCCCAAATGCAGGGCTGGTTTAACGCGGGAGATGGGTTGCTGTAATACACCATCTGAAGAAATAGAATACTCGACATAGACATTAACAAGGTACTTGATAAACTGAAATACCCATTCTTTATAAAGAAAAAGAAACCCTACCAACTATCGATAAAGTCTGGGAACTTTTTGACAGAAATAGTCACACGTGTACTCAGCTACATATACATACAAGGATACTTAAACAAAAATAAAAGGCAAGTGACTGGAAAGAAGCAGGCAAACTTATGATCATTTTCAGACGGAAGGATTTTATACCCAGTAAATAAGCTACAAAATTATTGTCTTTCCTACAAAATCACCACCACCTAGCTTTATGACCTATAACAGAAGTTCCCATTGGCAGTGATCCCCTGCATTAGCTTGCAAGGGCTGACACAACAAACGGATACCGCAGATTGAGTGGCTTAAGCAACAAATTCACTTTTCACCGTTGCAGGGGCGGGAGGTCCAAGACCAAGACGTTCGCAGGTTCGGTTCCTACCAAGGCCGGGCTCCTGGGCCTGCAGGCCCCTTCCCTCCGTGTCCTCACGGGGCCTTTTCTCGGGGCGCACACTCGGGGTGTCCCTCTGTGCGTCCTAATCTCCTTTTCATAAGGACACAGTCAGGGTGCTTTGGGGCCCACCCTAATGACCTCCCTTTAATTTGTAACTAAAGCTAAATAAAAAAATAACTACGGGGGGGGGGTTAAAATTTCCTATTCTCTTGGAAAATTCACTTATCAAAAACTAATCCTTCTGCCTCTGAGGCGCAGGTGAGGGTGCTAGTGAATGCGGGGCTGATGAGGGGTCAAACGCTAGGACTCGCTGCAAAGCCACTGCCCCCCACTGACGGCGTCAGGCACCTTGCAGACTGATCTCAAGGGTTAGTGTTTTTAACCTGAGAAATAGGCATCATCAAATACTTACGCTTTCTCCTGAAAGCCGGCCAAAGACCATTAATGCAATTACCTGGGAAACTCAGGAGGAACGGAGACAGAAACACCTCCCACCTTCAGCAGCGATCAGGGCTACGGGACCCGCCACCCTGCCCAGTGAACAAACTTCAGGCTCTCTAAGGACGAAAACCCACACAGAAGGTTGGGTTTTCTCATCTTTTTGATAATCACTTCAAGCACTACCAAGCGAAAACTCCGGGGGTTGTAA